GTGCCCGCTAGGGGGCGCGTGCGAGCAGAAAAAAAATGCCGGCAACCCGTCAATGCTGCAGTGCCGTCTGTCCGTTTTTTTTACTACGGGCGGACGGCAAGTGGTTAATAATGTATTTTAAATTAAGTGGTTACTTGATTAGGAAGGCCTCCAGTCAGAAATAATCTTAACCCTTGCAGTGGGCCTCCCCCCACACTGCAAGGGTTAACTGCTCATTTTCGTCTTGGGTGTAAAATAAAAAAGATAAACTCCGACATTATAATGTCCTTCAGCATCCTCACATCCAATACACTGTATTGGACGTGATAACTCAGTTTTAGACCCCTGAAGCAAAGGGGGAGCGAAGCTGCAGGGAATGGTCTAGCAGGCAGGCTGATCCACAGTTCGGTTGATTGTTACTTTTTTATTTTACGTCCTAGATGAAAATGAGCACTCAACCCTTGCCATGCCCCACTGCAAGGGTTAAGCTACATTGACACCTATAGTTTAGTTGTGTTTAGGGATTCCTGCAGCAGGAATCCCTAATCTGTTGTTTAGGGCTTGTTCACACCATGCATAGTATGTCAGACTAACTGGTCTTAGGGAATTATTAAGGACTACTTAGTGGAATTCGTCCGGGATCATGGCATAATAACTGATAACCAGCATGGATTTATGAAGGATTGTTCTTGCCAGACCAACCTGCTAACCTTTTATGGAGAGTTAAGTAGAGATCTGGATGGAGGGAGGCCGGTGGACATAGTATATCTGGACTTTTCCAATGCCTTTGATACTGTGCCACATAAACGCTTGTTATACAAGCTAAGGGCTATGGGCATAGATGAAATAGTGTGCACGTGGATAGAAAACTGGCTACAGGAACGTGTACAAAGAGTATCGATAAATGGTACCTTTTCAGACTGGGCTGAAGTCAGGAGTGGCATGCCCCAGGTTTCTGTACAGGGCCCCATGCTTTTTAACCTGTTTATTAATGATATCGGGGAGAGAGTGAATAGCCATGTCTCAGTGTTAGCTTATGCTACAAAAATTGGGAGGGTAATAGACACGGATTTAGACATTGTAACATTACAGGAGGACCTGGATAAACTCGGGAAGTGGGCAACTGTATGGCAGATGAAGTTCAATGTCGATAAATGTAAAGTAATGCACTTTGGAGTTAAAAATAGGCAAATGGACTATACACTTATGGGGGTGCCACTAGGAAAGTTGGAAACGGAGAAGGATTTGGGGGACCAGTTTTGGTCACCGATACTCAGAAAAGATGTCCTTGAGCTGGAAAAAGTCCAGCGGAGGGCAACCAAACTCATTAAGGGGTTCGAGGACCTGAACTATGAAGCAAGGTTGTTAAAATTAAATATGTTTTCTTTGGAGGTTAGGAGATTAAGGGGGGACATGATTTTCTTGTATAAACTGTTCAACAGCGACAGCAACATTATTAACAAACTGTTTACGGTTAGCTCCGTAACAAAGACCAGAGGGCACCAACACAAATTGGTAGAATTTTTTTTTTTACACATGGGGCGCAAGGGGTTCTTCACAGTTAGAGCGGTTAGGGTCTGGAACTCCCTACCGCAGGATGTGATTTCAGCTAAGAGTGTGGAATCATTCAAAAAACTCCTAGACAAGTTGCTTGGAGAGCGTAACATAAAGGGGTACCAGTACTCTTAAGAGCAAAATCACACATGGACTCATATACACGCACACACGTGCTCAAATATAAATGCATACACACAATTTGTTGGACTTATGTCTTTATTCAACTTCGAATACTATGTAACTATGACACTTTTTGTCCCGGTCTGTGTTTTTTTTTTAATGTTTAGGCTAAAATGGGCTTTCAGTGCAGGAATCCCTAATTGCACCTAAAGTATAGGTGTAAAAGAGGGCTTAATATTATTTCTGGCCGGAGTTCTTTAAATGATAAGCAATATATTCTGGCTTTTTTTTATAATTAATGTTAAACAATATGTTTCTAGTGCATATTATTTATTCAAAGATGTCACTGACATTCACTGTGGACACAGAGCAATGTATTTCTTATGTAAAGCTGTCTTTAGACTAGATATGGGGATGCTATGTAGCTGTACTGTTATATTGATCAAACTATTTTGCAGTGATTACAAGCAGGCTTTGCAAGACTGTTCTGTTATGGATTTTGTTAACACACAAAGTTCACACACAGTATGTACCATCATCCATACTAGATGGTGTTCATATACTATATTTAGAAACCAAAACAGCAAACGAATCTAAGTGATGCAAGTAAAAACTCCATGGAGACAATCTAACAATAGCTCAAGTGGGGTTATCACTGTGGCTAATGCAGAACAGAGATTAATAAATGTTCTTTTTTTTCCAGCACTGCTAGACACCTGTGTGATTTGTCTTTCAAAGTAAAAATATTGTTTTCCAAAATATTCAAAGCATCATTAAAGCTTATCTTTGTGAAAAATCTAAAGTACCCCCATCAGTCCCAACCTATTCCCCCCAACACCAATTTCTTCCACATTGTCCTTGCCAGTACCTTACTGTCTAGTGCTGTGCCTTCCTTGTGGGTATCTCCTTATATGTCAATCTCCACTCCCTGGGAGCCATCTCCTGTCTACCTTGGGCCCTCATCATGTGTTTCTTATACAGCTCACTTCTGTGTTCGCACAGTTGTCTGTTCCCTGTGTGTTCATACCACTGTATCCTGTACCTCTGTGTACACATAACTCCTGCAGTTACAGAGGGAGAAATGGAAACTAACACAACAACAAGATACACAGCACTGTTCGACTCAGAGCAGGGCAGATAGGGAAAGTAGACACCCTGGAGGGAAGAAAGGGCACACACAAGTGGATAGTAATCAGCAGACAGACAAGTATGGCCACTCACACCTCACAGGTGACTGCACTGCACTACAGCAGAGAATCACAAGGGTCTTGAAAGTAAGCAGGGACACAGGGAACAGCAAGGAGGAAAACTGCCAAGGGAATCTACAGAGGAATCCGAGGGAACAGGGGATCCATTAATAAGTCCATGAACTACCAGGGATATCACTGGGAACACAGGATGGTGTGGCAGGAGAAAACAGACTTGTTGTTTGAAAGTTGAGCAACAAGTGAGCTGAACATAAATAGGAAAGGAAGCGAGAACATTGGCTGCAGACCTGTGAATTCCCATAGGCTGGCAGCCAAGTACCTAGGACAGAGGGAAAAATCAGACATGGAAACTGGACAAAAGGGAAAATCTGACACTGATACCAGGACAGTGTCACGTCTGTAGTTTTTACATTAGTGGATCTCAACTGCGGAGTAATAGGATCAATCAGATACGAATCTCAGGCATCACTCACAATCTCAACGGTGAGTTTGAGGTTCTACCATCACGTGATCAAAGGAAAAACAACACAATTCAACACAGTACTATTGCTTCATAGACTGTGGGTTGGTAGTTGAAACACTAGAATGCAGTGGCTGCGGCAGGGTTAAGAGCGGATACTCAGTAAGTCTAATACACAGTTCATATCAGCCTGCAGGCAGGCAGAGGAGAGGTGCTCTCTCACAGATAGGGTACTTGCGATTGGCAGTAGCTGAGTGATGGCTGAGACTCCCAGGTGACTCCAGTAGCAGAACTGAGCAGGTCCGTCTTCCAGATGGCAGCAGGGGGATGAGAAGGGTCCGATTGGTGACCGTCCCATACACAGGTTCGTGAGGCAGCAGGCGTTCAGACAACAATCACAGAACGCCATGCTGCCTCATCAGTGCCCTTAAATAGGGCCAGGAAGTGAGGAGGGATCGCTGATTGGTCTGGACGACTTCCGCGTTCCACCGTGGAACGCAGCCACCGCGTCACAACCCGGAGTTCGTGCGTCTTCCGCGTTCCACGGTGGGACGCAGAGGACCGCGGCAGACAAACAAGAGGCCGCCCCGTCGGCGGCATTACAGACAGTGAGACAATTGGAATAGGGAGACTTATTAGACAATGGCAATAAAAGCCTTGTATAGGTACTAAGACTTGCAGACGCAACTAAAAAAAAATTGGAGAGATTTCCCACCACTTCTTTTCTGTCATAGGAAATCTCCCAAAGGGGAACAAATAGCAAATAAAAATGGCTTTATTCTGACTTCCCTACCCTATCCAAAAAAGGAGTTCGATTAATGTGTATGCCATTGGGATTCTTGTTGTTTTTTTTTTTTTCTTTCATTGATATTCTGTTTTTCTTTCCCTCTCTTTCTCTGTCTCAAACAATTTTACTACACTCTTCTCCGTAACTGTTATGCTGTCCTTGACTTCATATGCTTTCCCAACACATTATTACATTACTCAGTTGACTGAGTACAAAACTCAGACAAAAAGTTTGAAGGTTCACAACTACAAAATTCTATATTGTACCATAAAATTATTTTTACTTGTTAACACGCACATTTACATGGGCTTTCATGAGGCTTTTTAAATGGTGGTGTTTGGCTAATGTAAGGTAAATAATGGGAAAAGCACATGTATTTGAAACCTATGATAAAGCAACATAGGGAAAATTAGGCTCCTTTTTTAAATTAGACAGTTTTAGTTTCCTACACACTTAATTATCCTCCCATGATTTATGTAACACATAGTCTACAATAACTTAATTCAGAAAAAAGCATAGCATGACACAACAGCTTTCTTTCATGCAGGCAATAAATTGGTAAAGCAGGAACGGACACCTTCATTTACCTAAATATTATATGGAAGTGTTGCTCCTCTGCTTTGGTCCCAGCCTGTCTGTCAACTTGACTCCACCATAATGAAGGAAAGAACGAAATTGAAGGAAAGAGTGTTTTAATCTGTATGATATATGGCAGATGACTCAGTTTTTTACAGTCTTGCTCATATAGTACATTATAATACATATAATATAATACATTAAGTGTGTTTGTTCTGTATGTTTGCAGGTGACGAATAGGTCTGTGGAAGCCTTTGCAGAACACTGCCCAGAGTTGCAGTATGTTGGTTTCATGGGCTGCTCGGTCACCTCACATGGCGTTATCCACCTTACCAGTGTAAGTAAGCTAATTTACAAGGCAATTGTGTTCTGTCCGATAAGGAATAAACTAATTCAATTTATTTTAGAAGAAACAAAATGTTTTTTGTTGTTTTTTCTTTTCTTTCTTTTTTTTTTAAAGCTTAAAAATCTTTCCAGCCTCGACTTACGAAACATCACTGAACTGGATAATCAGACTGTTGAGGAGATAGTAAAGAGGTGCCAGAATCTCATATCACTAAATCTTTGCCTGAATAGGAATATCAATGACAGGTAACCTTTCTATCCCATTTTTTTTTTACATGTCTTTGGGTATAGGTATAATTCTTATAATAGTCCTTTTATTGCCGTTTTAGAAACAAAGCCACGCATATTGTTGTTGTAAGATTTAATATATGTTTTTGATATATATTTTGATATACACCTATGAACCTGTAGTGCAAGCCTCTATTTGCAAATGGCCATTTGACTGCGCCCACTTGTTCGTTGCAGTTATGGTTCATGAGTCTTAATCATGCCACATTTTAACTTTGCTAAAATATAATGACCCAGAAAACTCTGTAATAACTTCTGCCTTTGTTTTGTTCATGAATGGCACTTAGAACAGAATTTTTACAGGAAAGCAAGCCGTATACTGCATACAGTATATGTAGGAAACGTTATATAACTTAGGACTTGCCCTCTTGTTTTAGTTGAAAACCTAACTTCAAGCATAAAATAAGTAAACAGGCCTGGACTGACTTTAAGCAAAAGCTGACTTGCTTTACTTGTTCTACATGAACTTCATCTGAAAGTTTGACAAATCTCATGTTGAGTTCCTTCATGTAATGAATATACTATCTAAAGGCAGCTGCAGCCCAAAATCATACAATCAAAATATCACAAATAGGCATGCTTTAGTCTCTGAATGTTGGGTTTTTATTGTGGCAAGGGTAGGTGTATGGAAAAATGGTGATTAAAGACAAGATGGCCATCTGTATGTCCAACTCTGATGCTGCCATTCCTGATTGTAGAAAAAAAAAAAACCGAAGACCGTCTAACATGAATTATGGAGAAAAATCATTACTAATATGTGAATAAGGCAGTCATGAGATTATATTTCGGTGATGTACAATTGTATTAGCAGATAGGAGGTTAGTTTATTATGTTCAGGATGTTGTGCAGGATTGTCCTGCATGGTACATCGTATTGTAAGCGTCTCTGGCCATGCTATGATAAACACATGTACTTCCTACTTAGCCTGATTTATAAGTCTATTCTATAACAGTTGGTTAAAAATGTACGTGCAACAAGTAACCGGTTTTTCGACTGCATATGAACCTTTTTTGCTGGCGTTTTAATTTACTTTTACAGTCAGACATCCAAATTTACACTCTACCAAGAACAAAGGTTCCCAAAGTTAATAACAGCAATCATATGGTCCTGATAGGTCACTAAGCTAAAGAACATGGATGTTCACTCATTTATGCAATACTCTTTTATGAACTTGATTCCTTGAGTTACACATAAAAGCACATATATTTTATGAAACATTACCTTTTACCTGATTCTCAGCAAATTATACTTATTGCTCCATCTGTACAGAAATAATGCATGTTTGGGCCTAAATCATGAAAATCTGCTTATAACGCTTAATAGAAATTGATGTAGATTTGTTTCTATATTCTCCAACCACTGCTTACATAAACCTGACACATTTTTTTGACAAGTTTTCTAGATTGTCTTGTATTTTACAGTATGTTTACTAGGCCATATCTCTGCAGGGATTGACACCATTTTAAATTAAACATGTCAACTGGAGCAATGCATCTGTAGTTCTGCTGCCATTGCATGAGACTGTGCAGTGAGTTTTTTTCCTGAGATATCCCAAGAGTTTTTTTTTTCTTAAACATAGCAGCTGTTTCTATGCTGTTTAAGCATTCACTTTCTTTTTTATGTTGTTGTCTCTCTTGTGAATGTATCTTATAGTATTCCAATTCATTTTTCATTTATTTGCCAAATATCTGCCTTGTGTCATTCTTAGTGAGCTGTATGTCCACTATATAAACACATTTAGAAATATAAATACAAAACTTTTCCCTAAGCAGTTCTGTAATACTTTGCCTTGAAGGCACATCCCAGTGTGTTTCTCTGTGGTTTCAGCAACTTGAAGAGCATGCTTTGCCATCTCGACAGCATGATAATTACTCAGCTCCACTGCTACATTCATTTATATTGTTTTTTTAAAGAACAACTCCACCGTGTGTGTGTGTATATGTACCGAATATATTCTGTATATGTATGTGCGTGTCACAATGCAATGGCATAGACCCTTTCTTTTGATGCGCTGCTTTGTCTGAGAGTGGAGTATAAAGGATAGTTGATGTTCTGCCAGGTACTCTTATGGGAGCTTGGATTTCATTGCAAAATACCCCAGGTCACCCAGTAGGCACTCATGGGTGCAGAGCCTGTAGCACAGGTGGCACTGATGGTATGAGTATTACCGATGGTACTAGTATTACTATTCGTAGTGCTGGTACCAAGGCATCACTAGTGACAGTGGTAGCACTGGTAGCAATGGTAGCTAGGTAGTGCTGGTAACACACATAGCTCTGAAAGGTAGGTTGGTAGCGGAGATGTACCGGTAGAAAGGCTTACTGGTAGCAAGAAAGCTTGGATAGTATAGACTAAGATCTACATGCAGCCCTGGTGAGATCATGCACGCAGCCATGTATAATTGCTGTATAATCATGGAATCAAAAGACCAATGATTATACAGCAATAGAGAATGGCAACCGGCTATAGAGGACTACAGATCTCATCATCCCATGATTGCTGGTATAATTCTCTATTGCTGAATAATCATGGATTGCTAAGATTTGTGGTCCTCTATAGCCGGTTGCCATTCTCTATTGCTGTATAATCATAGATTGAATTACAGTTCTTAATAATTATAAAGAAACTGCCCTAAAACATTAGTCTGTATTGTTTTAGAAAAAATTTCACATGTCCCTTTTAAGAAAAAGTATCAGTAATTGTACTTCCTGATGGAAAGTATTTGTACTTGGTCTTGAAAAAATGGTATCGGGACATCCCTACCTCTTACCCCTCACAGCCACTTTTTAAATTACAAACAAGGAGAAGCCAGTAGAAATGTAACTTTAAAGAAGCCAATAATCTCTAATCCAAGTAAAAGCAATTTAACGCCAAGAAGCATATTACATTTTTTTTTTAGCTTATGCTAAGTGAATAGGAACATGTAACACATATAAAAAGGCGTTCCAATTTGGCTGTGAAAGTGGAAATACACTTTAAGCTGTCAATATCCCTAGATATACTTCTTATTTTGACAAAATGGCTTCACTGAAGATAAATGTTCCTTGTGATTTTGTCACAGTACCTGTAGTTGGGATTATTGAGGTCTCTAACAAGCTTTTAAAAAAAAGGGTGGTTTAAATGTTTAGCTTTTATATTAATTGTGCCTAATCAAATGTGTGAATATGCCATAACTGTGGAAATTCAAATTTACATTCTCCATTTAGACCAATAAAAACAAGGTCCCCACATTTCAAAATGGGTGATTTTCTTAATCTTTATTGACTGGTTGTTTCCACCCATTGAGTAACAAATGTCAGCTCGAAATCTTAAATATCTTTTCTTAAGCAGCACTGTCATCACTGTACCTTTTAAACCTTTGTAATAATCTTTATAAGACCTTCTGCACTTGAATGTCAAAAATAATGACTGCAGCAATCAGACACAATTTAGTGTGCTCAATTGAGCTATATCTTTTCAGTAGCAACGATTAATTTAGGCGAGACATTCACAGCGATTACAAGGCTTAAGCTGTAACTCAACTAAAGGGAATGGAAAACAAAGACGACAAGGTAATAGAATGCTAACAGCTCACAGAGTTCTGTAGTAGAGCAAAACTCTCAGTGACTACTTTGTTTGTAATGACCCCCTGTAGGCCACTTGTCACTTTAGACAATGTACTTTAGAGCAGTTAAACTTTCTTTTTTCGGTTTGGGGAACGATATTTTGTTTTTAACACAAATTATCTTTCTTAGTTTTAAAGTTATGAATGATGTTTTTAGTATTATTGTCTTTCTCATAAGCTGTAGCATTTTCTTTATACTGTTAAACAGCTGTATCCAGAGGATAGAGTATAAAATATAACAATGTTATGTAGCTTTTACTGATGGAAATATCAGGTATTTAAATATTTAGCTGCTGAACATAATCAGTTGAGTCTGTGGTTTTGTGGGCTTAATGTCTGCTGCTTATTAGCTTATTTATAATTAGAGAGATCAGTGATTGTCCGTGATATTACTGTTGACTTTAGTATAAAGGGGACCTGTCATAGTTTAAATATAGCTACCACCGGTAATTTTTTGGTGATTAAGAGACAGGTTGCTTGTTCGTCTCTCGTATCCTCTGGTATTACTTGGTGAGTCACTGACAAAGTAGTAGACCTGGGATTCCAACTTTCCTGTTTGTGTAACACACAAGCAGCACTCCAGGATGCTCCAAATCTACCTGCTGTATGTGTTTGGCTTGGTATCTGTGTACAAAAAAGAAAAGAAAAAAAATCATATAAAGCGACAGCATATACTGACTATGCTATATATACAACTTTACTCAACCTTTTTTTTACTCCCATATTTCTATTAGAAAGAAAATCTCTACTGAGAGAAATATATAGGCTGTTTAGCAGACAAGGGGACCTGATCTTTCTCTGCTGCAGCTTCACTTTAACTCACAAGTGCCCTCATCATCTCTACCCTGTGACGGTTTCCTTTAACCTTTTCCCGACTGATGACGGGTTTTATGGTCACCATTGTTCAGTTTAATGACTGGGAATGGGTTAATCCCGTCATTCGGTGCTATGAGCACTGGTCTGTGAAGGGACCAGCAGCTTGTTATATAGGTTGACACAAGTCCATCGAATTCAACTCATTGAGTTACTGTTGTTGATGGGTCCCTTGAGGTCAGAGGCAGACCCTTAACAGAAGATTAGGTGATCACAATACTGTGATCACAGCGAGAACTGATCGCAGTGGTCGCAGAGCTGTGACCGTTACACAGCTGGCAGCAGCTGACTGTATTGTGTGCAGCTGTAGCCGGCTGTGTGTTTACAAACTGATACAAGGCATCTCTCAGCAGAATACAGTATTTTACTTAGAGATACTAAGTATCAAAGCCCCTGTAAATAAAAATATACCCCTTAGTGCCCCCTAGTTTAAAATAAAAATGAGGCTTTTAACATTTTTAAAAATTAAAGGAAAAGCCAA